CCCCTTAGAGAGGCTTGAAATAAACTTTAGGGAAGTTTACATATAGTCCTTGACTTACAACCACTTCAAAGTTACAACAGCATTGGAAAAAAGTGACTTGGATCAGAGATGTATCTGTATAAAAGTGGCTAGAATGAAAACAAACTATTCTATTTTTCGGAGTATGAGACAGACACACACACAAAGAAAGGTGAAAATGTGGGTGCGCTTTATTCACTGAATGTAGCCCCGGGCCCCCACCCTTTGGCCTCTGCCTCTCAGCAATTTACCTCCTTGCAGCAAATGGAAAAATGGGGCTTGCAGAGACTGCAATAGGCTATGGCAATCCCTGCAGCCTGAAACAGCTGATCATCGGGAGGCTGAAATTGAAAGTGAAACGGGCTTTTTGCTGTAAAGAGGCAAATTGCTGGGAGGCAGAGGCAGATTTTTTTTCTTGTGCTAATCAGGCTAAACTGAAACAGGCTGTTTGCTGTTTGCTGCAAGGAGGAAGTCAGTAACTATAAATGCCTATAGAATATTCAAATTATTAGACTTATTTTTTAAAGACTACTTTATTATTATTCTAGACAACAAAACAGCTTTTTAAAATAAATGTTTGATCTGAAGAGGCCCAGTGCTATTGCAGCTTCTTTTAAATAGCAGAGAATAATGTATACTTCCAGAAAGCCACATCAATTTTAACAGCATCTGTGCAAGTATAGTCTCAAATGTAACACCACAAACTCTGTATATCATCTGTGCTGTTTGCTGCAAGGAGGCAAATTGCTGGGAGGCAGAGGCAGATTTTTTTCCCCTTGTTTCCCTGACCAAAAACTACTCCGTTTCCCTGAAAATAAGATCTTCCCAGATAATAAGCCCAATCGGGCTTTGGAGCGCATGCACTAAAATAAGCCCTCCCAAAAAAATAAGCCCTCCCCAAAAATATTGCAACACAGCAGCAGCCATGAGGGGACCACACTTGCTGCCTCCTGCACCTCAAAAATAATAAGACCTCCCGAAAATAAGGTCAACCACTTATTTTGGGGGTCAAAAGAAAACAAGACCCTGTCTTATTTTCAGGGAAACACAGTAAGTGTGTCTTATACTTTGGAGCGTCTTATACTCTGAAAAACATGGTAGTTGTACATCCTGAAGGAGGTGGTTGCATTTAAGAAATACGATAGACATCATTCTAATAGGTTGGGTTCTTTGGAATACATAGAATATTAAGGTTGAAAGAGACCTTGGAAGTCTTCTAGCCCAACCTACTGCTCACAGCAGGATTTCCAATACCGAAGCTGATGGAAGTCTAATCTGCCCAACCATCCACCATGTTGAAGTTAGCACCAAGGGATTAAATTTGAGTTAACAACCATTGGTATAAAATATTTATTTCCCTGAAACAAAACATAAGCAGGTTTTTTTTTCCACAAACATTTTATTTTGAGATAGAAAAAAAAACATTTGAGACAAATTCTTACATAGCCATAAACCCAAATACACAATTTTGTTGGAAAATGACTTTTACATTTTTTTAAAAAATCATTTTGTTTTTCAAAAATATCTTAATAAAATGATCTTAGTGGGCAATTCTATTTTTAATTCACCAAAAGTGGAAATAACTGTACTTTTGACTATCCCTTGATGGGCAGAATGAGCTAAAACGCTACAACATTTGAAGGCTATTTTGATTAGGAAAACAAGAAAAGATTGTATATCCATGAAGACCAAGGTTATGTTTCTTTTTTTTGCCAAGCTGCCAACTGAACTAAGACACTAGAAGAAAAGGAACATTTCAGATAGCTACAGCAACACCAATAAACTTCCAATTTCCCAGATTTGCAAGAGCCAAACATCTTAGCTGTTTGTAACAGCCACATGTTTAAGTAAAATTACAGCAATTCAAGAAACTTCCAGCCCTGAGGCGCCACAAAAACTCCTTTGAAAAGGTCCTGCTTTGAAAAATAAATCTTTTAAAAAAAATATTCTTCCATCACGGAAAGTTAATGGCAGTATATCTCATCCCTTTGCACAACTTCAGGTGCAGGGGTATGTTGCTCCCGGCATTACTGCCAGTTTGATGCACGCAAAAATTTTGTGCACGTGGGCTTGCTTTGCTCACGCTCACCTTTTTGCACATTGGCACAAAAATAGGTCTGTGCACGTGCAACATTAAAAAAAATCTGTGCAATTACAATTGTTCTTAGAACCGAAAATCAAGATGGCGGGCCCGTAAGAGAACCAGTTTGGGGGCATGGCAGGCCTGGGTTGCTGCCGGTTCACCCGAGCCGGTCCAAACCAGTAGGAACCCAACTTTGCCCAGGTGTAGATAAAACCAGTGTGAATCTGACGCACATTGAGTGTTTGTGCCTTTTGGCTATGAGAGGAGAATTCAGTTCTGATTTTTTTCCCCCCAAAGCACACTCAATTTCCATGATGAGAAAGTTTCAAAACTGATGCAGGCCACAAAAGGAGCAGCTTCACTGAGGTACTCGACGTTAAAAGTGCACACAAGCCAATCGCCCATTAATGGCGGTCTTCAAAAGACAACATTTGACTGTAATTCCAAGACGTTCTACAGCCATAAATGGAAACCATGAGCAACCTTGGGCTCAACAATCATACAAGATGTTAAAAACACAGGAAAGCCAACACCGAAGGATTCCATACCCAGTAGATAGAAACAATTGGTGGAAGCCAACTTAAGATTCTTCCCAGACTTTATGGAAAAAAAGAGGAGGTGATAGAGATGAGGCTGCTAGAAGGGAGAGGACCAAAGCTTTCCTAGGCTCTGTCTTTGGCCTCCATGACAATCTCTGCTTGCAGCTTTTTTCAAGTCTCATTCCAGGATGCTTCTAGCCAACCTTTCATTCAAAGAATTTAGCACAGGCCAACGAAAGCTGCCAGGCACCATTAAACGAGAGTAACCACACAGGGTTTTTAGTTTGGAGGAGGCCAAAAGGGATGTGATCTGCAAATCCTTCTCTCTTCAGGTTAAACGATTTATGCTGCTGCTATTATTCCCTTCCGCCAATCAATCTATAAATTAAAATGTGTATCCCTCTAACTGCATTTTTCACCCCTGCATGGGAAATCCTTCCACTCTTCCATTTCAAGAAGGGAATATGGCAACTTCTTTCTTGGCACTTCACCATCTTTACAAAGATCGTGTCTGACTGGGGCGCCACAAAGGACACTGGATTAATCTTAAAAATTCAGAATGGAAGGCGATAATGTCCTGCTGCTACATTCCCCTCCCCCCCAATAAAGCTCGCCATCTTAAAATTTAGAAAAAGGAACAAGAAAAATCCCAGAACAAAGAATATTAGCTATCTTTCCTGCTGAAGGTGCTATTTTTATCAAACAAGGCTTTCAACCTCTGTACAGATCTGGCACCAGCAGTCCCTAATCTCTCCAGGATCTGATTGCTTCAGCCCAGAGCCAAAAATCTAGTTCACAGAAGTTGCAACTTGGATCAAACAGCCTCCCCAGCTCTGCCAAATCTCAGAACGAAAGGAAATGCTCCCCCAAAAGAGGTTTACAGACCCCCTGGTCTATTTATCCAGGGGGCACGTAGAAGAAAAACTCTCCAAGCGGCTTAAAAACAAATTTCCCAATCTGTTGTGCTAGCAAGGCAGCTTTTTCCTCAAATAACCTGCACTCGAAAACAGGACACAGAATAATGTTTTTTTTAAAAAACATCTCGGCTATTGTATGATCTGGAAAGAAAACAAGTGGCACCTCTTTGACGAGCAAGAGGCACCCACAGACTAATTGCATGGTCTAGAAAAAACTAAGGCCATAGTCTGGATGATAAATATGGCACAGAATCAAAGAATAGGACTAGATTGATCACTGAGATCACAGTAGGAATACAGAGATCACTTTCATTGGCAGATCCAAATAAGAAACCCGCCCTAGCTAATTCTTGGCTTTGAAAAAGAAAAAGAAAAGTCAAGAGTCACGATTTAAAACAGATGCGCAATCTCCTTGTAAGTTTTATGGTTCTATATAGAAGGAGCCCAGAACAACTGTCTCACACACACACTCCCACACAAGCACAAAAACACTGTGACTATGTTATTCACGTCTAGAAATTTCATTGCACGTACATATATCTGTTTAAATATGCCACGTCAAAGAGTAAACATCAAGATTCATCAAAGCAGCAGAAGAAGACACCTCGCTCCCCAGGGCCCCACTGGGGATCTGACATCAGGAATTTGGCCCAAGAAACACAGAGATGAGATTTCCCACTGGGCAGCATAGCAGGAACTCTCTCTTCGGATAGAAATGGGGCAACTAAAGAATATTCACAGTCAAATATTCACAAAATGTCTCAACAGCTACGAATACATTAAAAAACAAAACCACCAAGATCTATAAAGCCCCCCAAGAAGAAGATTAATTATCTGATCAAACTGGAATGAGATTCAAGTTTTGGTCAACTGGAATTATATTCATAATTACTTTTGAAGTTCTTCATGGTGAGTACCTACCCCACCCCACCCCATTACTTCCCCCATTCAGGTGGAAAGAGCAGATAAGGTTGACCTTAAGGCAAATTATCTCTGCTTGAGGTATCAAAGGATGCCCAACATGGGACTTGTAAGGCAATACAACTGGAGACTCTGGCTGGGATGGGACAAAAAGAGGAGCCAGGATCTAATTCAGAACAATTATCACAGCGACAACTCCGAAAGCTAGAGATTCGGCTTCTGAGGGTTACTTTTCTCCAATTTACACCAATGCGGAAAAGAAAATTATTCCTCAATGTCTCTGAAGGATGACTTTCGCAGGTTGGCTACTTCAGCCAAACCTGAATGTGTGCTGTTTCCCCAAGGATCTCCAGATATGTTGGTCTGCCGGACTCTCATCCAGCAGTCTTGCTAGATCAGGAGTCCTCAAACGTGGCAACTTTAAGCTTGTGAACTTTCAACTCCTAGAATTCTCCAGCCAGCATGCTGGCTGGAGAATTCTGGGAGTTGAAGTCCACAAGTCTTAAAGTTGCCACGTTTGAGGACCCCTGTGATAGATGGTGCTAGATGGTGAATCATGGATGAAGAATATGCTTTTTTCTGGAGTATCCTACAAGGGGGTAGTTGATATATATGTGTGTGTGGACATAACATTGAATACATGTATGTACAATGTGTAATACATTTATGTAAGTATACTTAGCTATGACATAGAGTCCAACTCCAAATTGGCAGATTTTCTTGGTCGGTGCCTTTAACTGAGACAAATCCATCTCCTAAATCTTAATCCAGCAATTAAGTTTTTTCCCCCACCAACTAATTTAGATAGAAACAATCTGGGAGGTGCCCGCAGATATAATGGCATCTGAGCAGGCTTCAGCTAAAACTTTCGGGAGTTTCAGAAGGCAGTGTTTGGCAAGTAGTTGTTATTGTTCCCTATATGTTTAACCAAATTTCAACCACACAAAGAACCTTCGCGTCTACGCTGATAGTGAAGAAGCACCCAATACTATTCACCCTCAAAGTCTACATGAGACAAGGAGAGGTTCTGTGCTGAAGGTAAAACCTAAGAGCTGCCACAAGGGAGGAAAAGTCACTGAAGTCATGAGCAAAAAGAATAGTGCTTTCCATCAACCACAGTCCTTGATATGACGGACATCTGAAACTCCATAGGTCTAAGGTGGCAAGATCAGAAGTTGAAGTCTACTTGTGGCTTCTTTTGTAAATACGCCCACGTGCTTCGCCATCCTATAGGTCACGAAGATTCAATGGAACATTGGGAAGATAAATCTGATGTCATAATAAAAGAATGGAATCAAAAACAATATAGGCAGTGTTCTTCTCCAACCCCAAATATAAAGGCTCTCCTCAAGATACTTCAACAAAGAAGAACCAGGATGGAGTTTCAGGATACTTTCTTAGCCGGAGAGCATTGTACTTCCACACTGAGCTTAAAGAAACGGGCAGCATAATAGAAAAGGAAAAGTATGAGTTTTCCATGGAACATGGTCATGATGGACTGGTGTCCCGATGCCCAGATTCTATACCAAGGGCCATAGAAAGGGTCGGAAATAGCCGGGCACAACATGTTGTTCAAGTTCACTTCCGTGATCTAGAAGAGCAGGAGAAAAGATGGATTTTTTTTACCAAAAAAATGTCTTTATACTCTTACACCAATTTGCCCTACTCTGAGAAAAGTAGTAATGTTCCCAGTCCTTAAATATTTATTTATTAAATCCATATATCACCTGTCTCACTATCCATAGTGACTGTGAATCTGAAATATGTCAGTTCTTCTTTGTCTCCTCTAGCACCAAAAGTGGTATTCAGCAGGTTCTGACAAGTTCTGCAGAACCGGTAGCGGAAATTTTGAGTAGTTTGGAGAATCAGTAAATCCCACCTCTGACTGGCCCCACCTCCATCTATTCCCTTCCTCCCAAGTCCCAACTGATCGGGAGGGAATGGGGATTTTGCAGTATGCTTCCCCTGGAGAGGGGAGGGAATGGGGATTTTGCAGTATCCTTTCCCTGGAGTGGGGAGGGAATGGGTTTTTTGCAGTATCCTTCCCCTGGAGTGCAGAAGGAATGGAGATTTTACAGTATCCTTCCCCTGGAATGCAGAGGGAATGGAGATTTTACAGTATCCTTCCCCTGGAGTGGGGAGGGAATGAGGATTTTGCAGTATCCTTCCCCTGGAGTGGGGAGCGAATGGAGATTTTGCAGTATCCTTCCCCTGGAATGCAGAGGGAATGGAGATTTTACAGTATCCTTCCCCTGGAGTGGGGAGGGAATGAGGATTTTGCAGTATCCTTCCCCTGGAGTGGGGAGCGAATGGAGATTTTGCAGTATCCTTCCCCTGGAATGCAGAGGGAATGGAGATTTTACAGTATCCTTCCCTTGGAGAGGGGAGCAAATGGAGATTTTGCAGTATCCTTCCCCTGGAGTGGGAAGGGAATGGGGTTTTTGCATTCTCCTTCCCCTCCCACCCCCACCAAGCCACACCCACAGAACTGGCAGTAAAAAAAATTGAATCCCACCACTGTCTGGCACCCCAGTTTACACCCAAACAACACCCTCAAACAGATGTAATTCTGAAGCTTATTAACACAATGCAGTTTCCTCTGTTTAATCTATTTGGCTAGATCATTTAAAACAAGAATTCTTTTCTCTTTTCTCCAAGCTACATCTTCTGGGGCTTTTTTTTTCTTTGCTTACCTGCTCCATTGGTTTTTTTTTTTTTTTACTAAACCTACCCATATACAGCCCAAAGTGAGATCTACAATCCATATAAGTAAATTGACTTACGAGTCCCAAGATCTGTAAAAAAGTGTAGTGGTAAACAAACATCAACCCATTGGAGAGCAAGGCCCACCAAAAATTCCAGGATGGCTCAGGAGTGTAAACACCTTTTAGAAAGAGAGAAAAAGAGAAAATTGTTTTCTGCTATTTCAAGGTGGGCAGCATCCTTTCTTTAACGACGTATCAATTTTCACCCTGTAAATCCAAGATTATTGCAATAGAAAACATAAGGTGGTAGAAATACCTCTGTTGTAGGCCAGATTGAATGCCAAAGATTTCTGCAAACATTTCAAGATAATGAGAAAACCATGGCTGGCTCCTGGCTTGAAAAAGTTTGCACACTAATCCCTTACTACAGTCCTCAATTTATGACCACAACCGAGCCCAAAATTTATGTTGCTAAGTAAGAAGTTTGTTAGGTGAGTTTTGCTCCCATTTTACGACTTTTCTTGTCACATTTGTTAAATGATTCACTGAAGTTGTTAAATTAGTAACATAGTTATTAAGTGAATCTGGCTTCCCCATTGTCCTGGCTTGTCAGAAGGTTGCAAAAGGTGAATCACATGACGCAACCGTCATAAATGTGAGTCAGTTGTCAAACATCCAAATGTAAATCATATCACCATAGGCCTGTTGCAACAGTCGTAAATGTAAAAAATGGTCATAACTCACTTTTTTCAATGACAATGTAACTTTGGTCACTAAGTGAACTGTTGTAAGTGGAGGACTACCTGTATTCCAGCAAACCAGGACCACAGCCTCAAGTCAATGCCAGAGCAGGCAGGAAAGTTAATGAAATACACAGCCTCATTCAGCCAGACTACGGTTGGCCATTCTACTCATGGCCATTCATTTGGTGACCAAAGTTGCAACTACAGGTGGTCCTGCACCAGGGGTGGGTTCCTGCCAGTTCTAACCTCTTCTATGGAAGAGGTTCCACAAAACTACAGTGCCATTTAGAACTGGTTCCAGCTCCCTCCCCCCGTCCGTCCGCACATCATCAAGATGAAGAGCGAGAGGAGGAATTCTGGGAGTTGAAGTCCACAAGTCTTAAAGCTGACAGTCAAGAACAGCCCTGGGTTTTTTGTTTTCTAAAGGGTTAGGGGTGCAAGGGTCTTGTAACTTGACAGCTTTAACACTTGCACACTTCAATGCCAGAGTTCCTGAGCCAACATTTTGGTTGCTAAGCAAGAGCGTTGTTAAGTGAGTTTCACCACATTTTACAAGTTGGCCATGACCACCCAATCACATGACTGCCAAGTCACTCCCACTCAGTCACATGGCTGGCCAGCCACTCCCACTCAGTCACATGGCTGGCAAGCCACTCCCACTCAGTCACATGGCCGGCAAGCCACTCCCACCCAGTAACATGGCGAGCAAGCCACTCCCACAAAGCAGGCCACACCTACAGAAGTTCTAAAAAAAATTGAAACCCACCACTGTCCTGCACTTACGACCGTAATTGACCCCAACATTTATGTTAAACAAGACAATTGTTATGAGAGTTTTGCCCCACTTTCCAACTTTTCCTGCCAAAGTTATTAAGCGAATGCCTGCAGTTATAATAACCCAGCTGTTAAGTGTGAAAAACATTCATAAGTCACTTTTTTCAGTGTTGTAACTTTGAATGGTCACTTAACGAACGGTTGTAAGTCAAGGACTACCTGAATTCATGTGAATCAGGAAGAGTGTCTATTTGAGAAATTTGTGTAATCCTCCCCCATTATTTGGACTGATGCAGTATTTTCCTTCAGAGGTAGTCCTCAACTTACAACCAACCTGTTTAGTGACGGTCCAAGGTTTGCAGCGGCACTGAAAAAAGTGACTTTCACACTTTCATGCACACAACCGTTGCAGCATTCCCATGGTCATGTGATCAAAATTTAGGCACTTGGCAACTGGCATGTATTTATGATGGTTGCACTTCATGCAATCACCATTTTTAACCTAGCTGGCTTCCGATAAGTCAATGGGGGGGGGGGCTGATTCACTTAACAACCTCATGATTCACCTAACGACTGCAGCAATTCACTTAGCTATGGCAAAAAGGTCATAAAATGGGACTCGCTTAACAACTGTCTTACTTAGCAACACAAATTTGGGACTCAAATGGTGGTGCTCTGTCAAGGACCCCTTGTAGGAAGTTCTTGCATGCCTCACTAATGACAATTTGGTGCATTGCTCTAGAAACAGTTAACTAGAAAGTTTGCTTAACTCTTCTAGACATGCTCCAGAAACATCTGGTTTGAAGGCAGGAGCTTTCAAACAAATGCATTGTGAAGCCCAGGGAAAAAGCCCAGGGAAATTCCTGGCAAACAAGCCAGCTGGAAAAGAAATCTACATGCTTATTTTTCCAAGCGTTAATGGCCCCCATTCTGAGCTTTTGAATTTCGGCTCAGAAATGCTTTCTCTTCCCTCTTTGATGTCTCTCCAGATAGAAATTCCTTCTCCACATAGAGTGGAAAATCATTGAATGGAGACCAGTAACTACTCATCTGGGAAATGGGTAAAAAGGAAACGTGGAGGGGAGAGAGACGGTTGAGAAGAGCTGAAATTACATTTTACGTCTTCAAAGGAAAAATCAGAAAGTCCAGCTGCCACTTGAAAAAGCAGTTTTAGGACAACCATCACCTGGATGACTGAGCATCTCCATAGACATTCTGAACAAATGGATATCCAACATCTTCTTAAAAACTTCCACTGTTGGAGCATTCACAACTTCCGGAGGCAAGTTGTTCCACTGATTCATTGTTCTAACTGTCAGGAAATTTCTCCTCAGTTCTAGGTTGCTTCTCTCCTTGTTGGTTGTCCTGCCTTCAGGTGATTTGGACCAATGGTGAGTTCCTAGTGGTTCGGACCGGTTTGGTCAAACCGGTAGTAACTTAGTGGTCTGGGTCACTGGAACCAGCAGCGACCCAGGCCTGCCACGTCCCCGAACCGGTTCTCCCTACAGAGGTGCCATCTTGTTTTTTGCTTCTGTGCATGCACAGAGCAATTTTAGTTGTAATGCACATGTGCCCGGGTGTGCGGCGCGTCCCTGAGCAAACCGGCAGTAGTCTCTGCTGGAACTCACACCTGATTTGGACATAGCGTGTTTCCCCAAAAATAAGTCAGAGTCTTACTTTCTTTTACCCCCCCCCAAATGTTGCTTGGGCCTTATTATTGGGGGGGGGATTGGTTTGAGGTTGCCGGGTGGCTGCTCTCTTGTGAGAGGGCACCCGAAGAGCTAGGCACAGCCTCAGGGGCAAATGGCTATGTTGCGCTGTCACAGCAGTGCAACAAAGTCATGGGGTGACCACATTCACAAGCAGCTGCCCGGCAATCTCATTTTCTAGCCGGGCAGAGCACCACTCACCGACCCAGTAATATCCCAAAGGCGCTAAGCCGCGTGGTGCTCTGCCCAGCTGGAAAGGGAGGCTTCCAAACTGTGGAGATCCGCTGCTGAATCTTCCAGCAGCGGCCGCTCCAGGACTACACTCTATGGTTGTGGGCTGGCTGTTGGGTTCCGGCAGGGAGAGCTGGGTCAGGGCATGGTGAGGCTGGGATGCACGAGCTGGGGGCGGAACAGGCGCTCGTGCAACCTCCCTTTCCAGCCGAGCAGAGCGCCACGCGGCTTAGCACCTTTGGGATATTACTGGGTCGGTAAGTGACATTCTGCCCAGCTGGAAAGGGGGGTTGCCAGGTGGCTGCTTGTGAGAGCAGCCGCCCAGCAACCCACCCACCCACCCCCGGTCCAGCTTGGCACAGCGTCACTCACCAACCAAGCAGTATCCCGAAGGCGGCAAGCAATGTGAGCACCTTTCCCCCCCTCCCCTCCAGCTCCTGCGGCTTGGCGCCTTCAGAATATCATTAAGTTGGTGAGTGGCGCTCTGCCTGGCTGGAGGGGGGGTTGTCCAGGGGACTTATTTTCGGGGGAGGGCGTATATTTTTGCCCACCCGAAAAATATGGCATGGCCTTATTATCAGGACATGTCGTAGTTTTGGGGAAACACAGTATATGGCTACCTATTTTATGCATGTTAATCCTAGGTAAGTCACAACAACATATTCCCCAAATAAGGTCATCAAGGCAATGTTAGTGGTGGCAACTAGGCTTTCATTCATTTGGTGTTTTTTTTCCTATTACACATTTCAACCCCACCTTTGACAAACATTAATTGAAGATGGAGTTCAGGGTTTGCAGGCCACCAGCAGAGGGCAGCAGAGAGTTGCAGAAACCCCAAGGTCTCCTTAAACAGGTTTGAAAACTCCTGTTCTCCTGGCCAAGAAGTGGTTGGACAACAAATGAAGAGGTCCTTATGCAAAGTCAGTGGGGCCCTTTCACAAACACAGAAACATCTACCATTTCTTTTTTTTTGGGGGGGGGGGGGATGGGACTCATTTGTCTATGATTCTCCCTTTGTCCAGAGGGCAGAGAAGAAGTCATGAGTAAGAAGCTTGTTTAAAGGGAGATCCAACCTAGAAGTAAGGAGAAATTTCCTGGCAGTGAGAACAATGAATCAATGCAATGACTTGCTTCCAGAAGTTGTGGGTGCTCCATCACTGGAGGATTTTGAAGAAGAAATTGGATAGCCATTTGTCTGGATGGTATGAGGCTCCTGCCTTCAGCAGGGGGTTGGACCTTAAACACTCAAAGAGCCACAAAGGGCCTAACTAGAAGCCCCCTGTTCAATTCTGGAGGCAACCGGAAGTCCGGTCCCCCACTATAGAGTCTCCTCCTAGTGCGGCATCCTTTTTCCTCTACCTGCCCTAACCAAAAGCCCTATCAATTGTGGAGCTGACCGGCGACAGGGAGCCGCAGCAGAGGAATGAAAGAGCCACATGCAGCTCCAGAGCTGCAGGTTGTTGACTCCTGGACTAGAAGGAAGGTCCCTTCCTGCCCTATGATTCTATGTTCTAGTTTTTAAACTGAAAAGCTTTGTTAAAGTTTTGTTGGATTGCTGAACTGTAAATATAGCGTCTTTGGTAAGAATTGAGGAGCAAAATTAACAGCGATGGAGGTCCTGATTAGCTAGGAAGACAGGATGTAATTAAATAGTATCAGTAAGGCCCCACACACAGACAGACCGTATTTTTCAGAGTATAAGACCGCACCTTCCCCCCTCAAAAAAAGAGGGTGAAAATCTGGGTGCGTCTTATACACTGAATACAGCATTTTTGGCCTCTGAAACCCCGTCCCCTTCGCAAAAATGGACGTGCATAGCCTTTAGGAGGCTTATAGAGTGCTCCTGGGGGCTGAGAGGGCAAAAACGAGCAAAAAACCCTGCATTTTTTCCGCTCATTTTTGCTCTTCCCCTAGGAGCACTCTGGAAGACCTGTTTTTGCCCTCCCCCCACAACCCCCAGGAGCACTTTGCATACCTCTCAAACTCTCATGCCCCATTTTTCACAAAAAATGAGGCATGCAGAGTGCAAAAACTTTTTTAAATTTACCTCTTAAAAATCTTGGTGCATCTTATGCTCCAGTGCATCTTATATTCTGAAAAATACGTACCTCCTTTCCGTAGCAGGTAGATTGGGACAACATAGAGCATGATATGTTGAATGTAATAAATTTCCAATTCAAAAGGTAGCTGCAAAAAAAAGAAGAAGAAGAAGGAACCGATTTATAAATAGAGACTGGTGTGCACTCAGCTCAGAGTAATTTTCCTTGACTAGGTGATCAACTTTGATTCGATTTCAGGTCAGTTGTATTCAATTGAGGTACTCCTCAACTTACAACACTTCATTTAGTATTCGTAGAAAATTACAATGGGGCTGACAAAAAGTGACTGGCAAACGTTTTTCACATTTACGGCCACCATTGGTCACCGTTCCCCAAATACTTTTAACCCAGTCCAACGTCCTTATTGGTGGTTCTGGGTGTGATCGCAGTACGGGATCCCATCAACTGAGTCAAAGGTCCAACTATTTGGGAAATATTAAACCCTTCCCCACTTCTCTAGGGAGGGGCCACTATCCCCAGAGTCATTGCAAAGGATGTTTTCCTCTTGGTCAGTGTTATTTAGATAAAAACTTGGTGAGTCAAAAGTAGCCAGGATGGTAGAATGGAAGCTTTGAAGAGTGCTGAACACAAACTGGAATTCTGAAGTCTGCCTATCATGATATGGTCACAAAACCACAGAACTATTCATTTTCATCCGGTTGTCTCTGCTGTCATAAATGTTTTTGTCAGTTGCTCAACAGAGAACATTTCCGCAAACAAATTCACTGTAACGTCACCCAGACTTCAAATAACATTCTTTGGTATGAAAATGTTTTATCTTAGACATTAACTACAAGTAGCCCTGGACTTAAAGATAAAGGTTCCCCTCGCACATATGTGCTAGTCATTCCCGACTCTAGGGGGCGGTGTTCATCTCCGTTTCAAAGCCGAAGAGCCAGCGCTGTCCCAAGACGTCTCCGTGGTCATGTGGCCGGCATGACTAAATGCCGAAGGCGCACGGAACGCTGTTACCTTCCCACCAAAGGTGGTTCCTTTTTTTTCTATTTGCATTTTTTACCTGCTTTTGGACTGCTAGGTTGGCAGAAGATGGGACAAGTAACGGGAGCTCACTCCATTATGTGGCACTAGGGATTCGAACCGCCGAACTGTTGACCTTTCTGATCGACAAGCTCAGCATCTTAGCCACTGAGCCACTGCATCCCCCAGCCCTTGACTTACAGCCATTCATTTTGTGATTGTTCAGAGTTACAACAGCACTGAAAAAAGTTAGTTATGCCTGGTCCTCACACTTATGCCTGTTGCAGTATCCCCATGGTCACATGACCCAAACCCAAATACTTGGCAACTGGTCCCATGTTTGTGACGGTTGCAGCATCCCAGGGTCATATGACCCCCTTTTGTGACCTTCTGACAAGCAAAAGTTATTGGGAAAACCGGATTCACCTAACAACTGCAGTGCTTCATTTAATAACTGTGGCAAAAAGATCATTAAGTGGGACAACATTCACTGAATAACTGTCTTGCCAAGCAATGGAATTTTGGAGCTTAATTGTAGTCAAGTTAATATAAGTAGTTCTAAACTCATAACCACAATTGAGCCCAGAATGTTGGTCCTAATTCATTGCAATCATTAAGAAGGTCCCCCTATGTGATCTGATTTGATTTTACATTCGGTTTTACAATGGTCACTAAGTGAACCAGTGGCCATTAAGCAAATCCAGCATTTCCAATGGGTGCAAACATTGTATAAAAGTCACAAATCAGAATCACGTACCCAGAGTCACAAATGCAAGGGGTTGTTAAGAACACCGAACGTGGTTCGCCAGTTGCAACTTTGAGGATGTGTTGTAAGTAGCTTTTTTAAAGACTGTCATAATTTCACAAAGTCATTAATAACTGATCATTAACAGAGGATTTGTATTACGGCTACCACATTCCTTGGTAGACCAAAATTAAGAACTGCCAACACCCTTCATAAATCAGGTCATTAGCATGTGAAGCAACAACCCCAGTTGTGATCAAACGAAAAGAAAGATGACACCATTAACAGACTCAACTTATTACAACACTTTTAACCAAAGAGTTATTACCTGGATCAGATATTGGCACCACAAATATTGTGACATAACCAAGCTTCACCACAACTGAATTAGGAGCATTAGATTGGATGCAAGAAACAACTCAACAATTATTCTGACCGAAGTTTCCCAACAGCATGAAGCGAACTCCTTGTCCCAGCAAAAAAAAACCTTTTATTAATTTACTGTGAATTCTGCTCATTCACATCCATCAAAGTCTTTCAAGGGAGGATTTACTGTCACAGACCTTCTCTGGCTTAGAGAGCTGACAGGCTGATATCTGGAGAACTTGGCAAGGAGTCTTAGAGAGTCACAAACCAATTAAGTGAACTAATTGTCTCCTGCAAACTCCACTCCCCTTTCGTTCCTCTTTTATTTCCTCTGGGAGGGCCATTCTTCATCCATCTGTGGCCTTACTCCCAAGTCGACCCCTGTTCTTTAGCTGTTCCCTTCATCTGGCAACTCTGTGCATGTGCACACTGGGAACAGGCTCCAGCTGTTCTTCTGCCTCACTGATGTCTGATTCTGAAGGCAGCTGATAACTGGCATACGGCTCTGGCCCCCGCTCTGCCTCCGACACAGAGCCCTCATCAGAGCCTTCCCTAGACTCCAGGACTGGCCCATGTTCCTCCTCAACCTCCTAACTGTCTGAATCTGCTGCCAGCTCCACTAGCTGCTGGCGGGCCACAACTACTATTTTACTACAACTCAAAAGAATATACAGTATGGTGTATGTTGACTCTTTTGGAATAAGCTTTTAGAAGCTGGAAGCTTTGACATTTAAAAATATCAAATGTATACAAACACAGAAGTGGTGGGATTCAAAAAAATTTACTACTGGTTCTGTGGGCATGGCTTAGTAGGTGTGGTTTGGTAGTTGTGGCAGGGGAAGGATACTGCAAAATCTCCATTTCCACTCCACCCCACTAATCTGCTTTCCAGCTCCGCTCTCCTGTGCAGGGCAACAAAAGAAGACCCAGCTGGGGCTGGGACTCGGGAGGCAGCAAATTGATCAGGGGTGGGGTCAGTTAGAGGTGGTATTTGCCAGTTCTCCAAACTACTCAACATTTCCGCTACTGGTTCATTAGAACCGGTTAGAACCGGATGAATACCACTTCTAAAACACAGTGCGTTAAAATATCCATCCATGCACCATTTTCTTATCATAGTCCTTCCTTTTCCCCAATGGAGTTCCTTGCACTATTAATTAAGATTGTCTCTACACTGGTTTGCTCCAGAGACAATGAGATGGTCTTTACGGTTTCAGGGGGCTTTGAATAACTGGCTTTCCCCCTATACATTTGAGGTTGAGCAAACTGCCACTTAAACTGGTTTTTATTGTCCCTTTTTTAAAAAAACAGAAAAACTTCTGCAACCCTGGACATTAATTATTTTGGACTGTTGACTTTTTTTTCGCTGGTGCTTTTAATCTTTGTATGCCGTCCAAAGTTATTGCCAAAACATGAGCTGCCAGCAAAATGAAATGAAATAAATCAGTCCATGAACGGTGCAAGCTTTAAAAAAGAAGAAGGGAAGTATCAAAGAGTACGGTATTTTTCGGAGTATAAGATGCACCTTTTCCCTCCTAAAGAGGGTGAAAATTTAGGTGTGTCTTATACGGTATTTATCTTGAGTCCATTCAGCCCCGCATTAGAGAATCTTGGCATGGGGATCTGTGTGGGACTCAGGCCCAGCTCTATCTTTAACTGTGGAAACTTGTTATGTGACTTTAGACCAGTCCCCACCTACCGACCTCAGCCTAACGTGACCTGCCAGAGTTGTTGCTATAGGAAAATTGCACAGAGAGATATGTAATCCACCTGGAGAGAGTGAATGAAAGACAGGAGAGAAAGTTAGCAAATAAGTAAGCAAGAAAATATACAAACAAAGGACAGGTTGCTGGAGAAACCCAACACGGATCACTGCTTTGCCTTCCTAAAAGTTTAAATCAAGTGTTTTTCACACTTGGCAACTTTAAGATGTGTGGACTTCAACTGCCAGAATTCCCCAGCCAGCCATGCTTTCTGGGAGTTGAAGTCCACATATCTTAAAAGTTGCCACAAACCCATAAGAATTGTTGTGATTGCTGAACAAACTGATTTCCTCCAATGCAGTATTATGCAATTCTGAATTCTTGGCTGGAAAGAAAGTACTGTCCTGTACTTCTATATACATTCAGGGGATTGTACAAAACAACACAAATAATTTCTGTATTTTATCAGCTCTCCATAGCCACCCAGGAATCCCAGTTTGTGTCAAACTAAAAGGAGTGGAAATGACAGCTGCCGATCGTTGGCCCAAGAACTATAATTTCACAATGTTGACCCTTCTTAGCAGGAAAATGATGTCAACATTTTCCTGTACGTACCAAGGTGGGGCAGTTCAGAGAAATTCTGAACACAAGCTTGCATGCTATCGGCAGCTCAGCTCAGCCACACCAGCCTAACCTGATCCTTAGCTACCCTGTTTCCTCAAAAATAAGACCTCCCCAGAGAATAAGCCCAATCAGGCTTGAGCACATGTGCTAAATAAGCCCTCCCCTGAAAATAAGCCCTCCCTGAAAATATTGCAACACAGCAGCAGCCAAGAGGTGACCACTCTCACCACCTCCTGCAAGGCCAAGCACTTATTTTGGGGGTCAAAAGAAAATAAGACCCTGTCTTATTTTCTGGGAAACATGGTAGCATTTAAGTAACATGTTGGATGATCAATTTCTCCGATATTTGTTGTCCCCATAACACATTGGAAGTTCTCCCTGTCCTCTAGAGATGCAGGATAAGCTATAGAATATATATATATATATTCTATATATATATATATATATAAAAGTGAAATACTACTCATGCATCATCACGAAATCTCCAGAACCGTAAAGCCTACAAAATTTGAAAATTGGCAGGTATGTTCCTCCTGGCTGAAAGGATTTTTCAGAATGACCATCAGATCATTAGTATTTCTTATATTATTAACACACTCTGATGCTAAGGAGTTCTACTCCCCCTCCCCACCTGAAAAGAATTCTTTTCCAAATGCCAGTTGGGCATGGGTG